ATCATCTATTTTCTCAGAATGGCTAAAAATTAACGTACGTATTTATCATTATGAGCATGGCGAGATGTAATAAACAGAAGCGGGGAGGGTGCACATCCTCGTTTAACTCATAACAATACTGGGAACCAAGGCATTCATTTATTTGCTAATCAATTAATATATTTTATAGTTACTTTAGGTTATTCTTAATGCAAGTAGCATTGCTAGATTTAGATCTATGAGCACATAATGCAAAACAATTCAATGGATGTAAAAAGAAACAAGTTTGACCTTGTGGTACTAACCATTGCGAACTAAAATCTTTCAATGAATGCAGCTTCGCTAGTCCTGAATCTAATAATGCACATGTCTTTTTGATAGATTTAGGGTGGGGTCAAAAATTATAAATATATTATAGGCCTATGGTTATACAATATGTGAGGCAGCGTGGTGGAATCAGGCTCTCGTCAAAATAATTGAAATTGAAGCAAACAACAGTTTTCTCCCTGCTTAGCAATTTTTATCAAATTTTCTTTTTTGCCTCAACACCTTTTATGTCCATTTACAAACACATTCCTTTGAAGATTTCACTGAAAACGTTGATTAAAGGCACAAAAATATACTTTTACAGTTTTCATGGACTCTCCAGCTTTGGAATTTACTACGCTTTGGTGGCCATTTTCTCAATAATTTTACCTGATAAACCAGGTGACCCCCACCTCCTCCAATCCAAAATATCTCCACTTCTATTGAAGATGGAAGGGTAATTTTTGTATTGAAAGCAAGACAAAATGAACAATCTTTAAGATGATACCAATAACTCAATATGCCCAAAAATTGACGAGTGCTTGATTCCACCACGCTGCCTCACATATTTACATTGATTTTGCTGTTGCATTTAATTGGAAACTGTACAAAAGATGCATGCGTTTATTTGTCAGGCTAGTAGTAGTATAAGGTTTTACGGCGCTCGCAACTGCTAAGGTCATATGAGCGCGCGAAACACAAGTTGTTCACCTCTGCGAAAGTTCACTTCACGACTGGTAACTAATTTACTTTAAAATGCTAAAAAGTTAAAATATTCAAATTCGGTGTAGTAGTAGTAGTATAAGGTTTTACGGCGCTCGCAACTGCTAAGGTCATATGAGCGCGCGAAACACAAGTTGTTCACCTCTGCGAAAGTTCACTTCACGACTGGTAACTAATTTACTTTAAAATGCTAAAAAGTTAAAATATTCAAATTCGGTGTAAATACAT